CCTCCTTTCCACCTCGCGAGGGAGGGAGGCAGGGAAGGAGGGGAGGAGACGGTCCCGCGGGAGAGACGGAATGGCCCGGCGAGGGGGACTTGGGCGCTGCTTTCCCCGGGAGCTGCCCCCGCCCCTGCGGCTGCCGCGAGGGCTGGCCTGAGCAGGGGCTCCAGGCTCTCCCACTGCCGCCCAGGGCGGCCCCCCGGGGCCGGGGCAGCGGCGCCGGCATGTCGTCCGACACCATGAAGTTCAATGGCTACTTGAGGGTCCGCATCGGCGAGGCCGTGGGGCTGCAGCCCACGCGCTGGTCCCTGCGCCACTCGCTCTTCAAGAAGGGCTACCAGCTGCTGGATCCCTACCTGACGGTGAGCGTGGACCAGGTGCGCGTGGGCCAGACCAGCACCAAGCAGAAGACCAACAAACCCACGTATAACGAGGAGTTCTGCGCCAACGTCACCGACGGCGGCCACCTCGAGCTGGCCGTCTTCCACGAGACGCCCCTGGGCTACGACCACTTCGTGGCCAACTGCACCCTGCAATTCCACGAGCTGCTGCGCACCGCCGGCGCCTCGGACACCTTCGAGGGCTGGGTGAGTAGCTATGACCCCTCCTGGCCGTGTCCGCTTGACCCCCTGTACCCCCTCCGTTTGTCAAAAGTCGCCGGGGTCCCGCTTTCCCATCGTCTTCCCCAGCTCCGCGGCGGTGGGAATTCCCTCCAGACTTTGGTGCTTGCCCAGATGGCTGTGGCACTGGTGACGCGACCGCGGTGGGTGTGTGAGGGCGCAGGTGTGTCTCCAGGAAGCGAGCCTGGATCCTGGATACGTCCCCTCTCGGGCTAACGGGACGTCAGGGCGGGGGCGGTCAGAACCCCCCCCCAATCTGTCCAGACTATTAGCGCGGTGCCCCAGCTCCCCGCACGCGGTTACCATGCGGGAAAGGAAAGGAAAGTGTGATAAGAGAAGGGTTTGACGTGGGTAAAGCACTTTACACGTTTCTTAGGAGAAAGCCATACATTCTCTGGAGTATTATTCACAGTGTTTATGGGTACGTGCTGGCTGGGCGCGCAGGCGTGCGCACGTGTTCCGGCATGCAGCCCCATTGCGTCCCGGGGATGCACAGCCCGCGCCGGCGGGGCTCGCAGCGCCTGGGTCTGCACCTTGGCAACATTTTATTGTTTAGCAGTTTTCCGAGGAGATGAGGTTTACAGGTGTTTGCAAGTAACGTCACTAGCGCAGTGTCAGCGCGAGAGGTGTGAGTGCTGCGGTGTGCGTTTCTGCTGTTGGGGAGAGAGCTGCGGGAACTCTGGAGTTTGTGCATCCCCGCACACCTGCTGGGGTTTCCGGGCATCCGCCAGCAGCTCCCCGCAGCTCCCCGCAGCTTGCCTCTGCTTTTCACATAGTTCCCATGAGGCAACGCTTGTGCTGTAAATAAATTAAAGTTTCTGGAGCACTCTCCACAGTGCTAAAAGGCGCCTGCTTCTCGGTCCTCACGCTGTCTTTTGGTGCAGTTGTTTCCCTTCCCACTTGGACGAGATGAGATGATGATGATGATGAAGTGGTCTCCCTTGGCAAAATGGAGTAAGCCCTTTGAAGGCTCTCAGGAATGGAAGGGCTTCAGTGACGGAGGATTTCAGTTGTGAACCCAGAATGTGAAGAAGTATTGAAAATCTGTTTGAAGTTAACAGGTGGTGGAATCAGATGGATAATAATGAAGACTCACTTAGATATTAATTTTACACTTTAAGGAATTGATCATTTTACTGTAGATTCTCTAACATTACAAATGGCTTGTGGAGCTATCCTTTTCTTTTAAATAGAAGTAAAAATGAAACAAAACAAAAACCCACCCATAATGACTGTTTAGCCATATCATCAAGTTATATTGAGTTAATTTTTCTGCAGCCAAACTTACTTTATGGAATTTAAAAGTGCACTGGCGAGGAATGGCTAAAAGACAGTGAGAAATTGACATTTTACCCTGTGAATTTCTGGATAGGAAGTAGAAGTAAGCCTAGGAGTCCAAATGGAATTATTGAGTGGCTGACTGGGAGTCAGGCTGGGTAAAGCTTTAGTTTAGAGGAACTAGATTGTGAAGGGTGGTGGTGCAGACTGGCCAATGGCACGTCTTCCCACCGGGCGGCTAGACTGCTCCTTCCTACTGCTGGTCTGCACATTTGAATCACGTGGGAGCTTCTAAAACTCCCTGTTTTTAAAGACTAGATAGGCATCTCTGGCTGTGGGACCCCAGCATCAGTACTTTTAGGCTTCCCAGCTAATTCAAATATGCTGTGGAGACTGAGAAGCTGTGGCCTAAATGTAGAGCAAGAGAAGAGAACTGTAAGAAGTGTAAGTGTAGGAAGATTCAGGTTACCTGACAAGGTGTAGGTGTGCAGAGCTGCTTATTGTACCACTGGATGGACAAAGGTTTAAGTGTCAATTAAATGTCTCTCTATATAATTAATTAATGACAAGTATAATGAATTATACTTAGATGTTTAATATAGCCCACTGGTGGTGTTTTGGAAAACATGAGTGTTTGGTAGGACAGGTCAGCATTTAAATTACCTTAAAATCAGCGATTTGTCATGGGTTTTTATTCAATTAGGGGGCAGAGATTTTTTTTTTTTTCTTTTAAGTTCTGGGTATTTTGAACCAACCTTGATGATAGGATAGATAGAATGGTTAGAGTGTTTCCTTTCTTTTTATAATTTCTAACAAAAATAATCTTACGAAAGTATTTGGCAGCATAGTGAATGCTTTTTAGAAGAATGATTCTTTATAGTTCTAAAGGTGGTTTGGAAGTTTAGAATTACAAAAATAGGTATTTATCTTTGCTATATTAAATTGAAATGTGCAGTTTATTTAGACAATTACAAATGAAATAATCAAATTTACTCCACAATAAAGTTATGTTGCAATTGGAATTATAAATTGCTACTTTAAAAAACCTAATGACTTAGTTTTTGTTAGATCATGTGACAGACGAAAACAGAAGATACCTTTATCATTAGCGTAAAGCAAGAGTTATTATGCTTTCTGACTTAATGTACTTTCTAAGTATCAAGAAGATAATCATTTACATTGATTTTAGTACCAGTTTTGTCAATATTAACTTGTAAGCTCGATGAGAGAATGGGTTATACCTGTTTTATGCAGTATATTCCTAATACCAAACATAGTGTCTGATGTGGATTAGACAATCACAAATTTCTTTCTTGACTGACTGTATATATTTCATTTAATCTACATAAAACCCAAGGAGGTGAGGATATAGCTAAAGAAATTCTTAAATGGAAATTCACAGTATTAAACACTTCAATTAGAAAGGATCTCAAAAGAGCTAAGTTTCCACCTGAAACTAGAAAAGAGGAGCAAGTTGAACCCAAAATAAGCACGAAAGAAGGAAATTGTAAAGATAGCAGAAGTCAGTGAAGTAGAAAACAGAAACAATAGAGAAAATCAATGAAACAGAAAGCTAATTCTTTGGAAAAAAATTAATAAAATCGATAAACATCAAGCAGAATGATTAAGAAAAAAAAAAGACACAAATTTCCAATATTAGGAATGAGAGAACATCACTATAAATCCTACAGACATTAAAAAATATTATGAAAAACTTTATTCCGGTAAATACCACAGTTTAGAGGAAATGAGCAAATTCTTTAAAAGATACAAACTACCAAAACTCACTCAAATAACTTGAATAACTTTGTCTATTAAGGTAATTGAATTTGTAGTTAAAAACCTTCCACAATGCAAATCTAAGGTCCTAGAAGGCTTTACTGGTGAATTCTATCATACATTTAAGGAAGAAATGTTGCCAACTAGACTCAAACTATTTCAGAAAATAGAAGGAAACACATCCTGACTCATTCCATGACGCCAACATTACCCTTATACCAAAACCTGATTAAAATATTTATAAAAGAAACAGAAAAGAAAACTATAGACCAGTGTCCCTTGTGGACATAGATATAAAAATTCTTAAATCTTAGCAAATTAAATTCAGCAACATAGCACATGGGTAGTACATCATGACCTAATTGGGTTTATAGCCAGGACTGCAAGGTTGATTTGATATTTAAAAAATCAATTAGTGTAATTCTTTATATTAACAGAATAAGAGAGGAGATCCATATTATCTTCTCAATAGATCATATTTAAAATCAATGAATTGTACTTTATCAAAATTAAGAACTATTGCTTTTCAAAAGCCACTTAGAAAATGAAAACACAAGCCACAGACTGGGAGAAAATATTTACAACATGTAAATCAGACAAAGGAGTTGTAACACCAATATATAGAAGAACTCTAACAACGCAATAATAATGAGGAAAATACCCAATTTAAAAATGGCACAAAGATTTGAATTGGACCATCGTTGACAAATAGCACAATCAAAGATGCTCAAAATAATCAGTTGTCAAGGAGATGCAAATTAAAACCAAAACCCACTCTAAAGGCTAAAATTACAAAGACCGACCATACCAAGTGTTGGTGAGGGAGTGGAGCAACTGGAACTTTCATATGCTACCCTGAGGAATATAAAATGATACAGTCGTGTTGAAAAACGGTTTGGCAATTTCTTAAAATGTTACGCACACCTACCATATGACCTAGCAACTCTTCTAAGTATTTACCGAGAGAAATTAAAGCATGTATAGGAAGACGTACATGAATATTCATAGCCGCTTTATCTGTAATAGCCCCCAAACTGGAAACAACTCAAATGTCAGTGAACAGGTTGATGTTTAAACAGATCGTATATCCTAATACTAATTACTAAAAAGTGATGAACTATTGATACATGCAGCAATACTGATGAATCACAAAATAATTATACTGAATGAAAGAAGCCAGGCAAAAAGGAGTGCACACTGTATTTATGCAAAATTCCAGAAAATGAAAACTAGTTTGTAGTGGCAGGAAGCACATTGGTGATTGTCTGGGAATGGGAGGGTGGAAGGTGAGGGTGGGCTGGATTACAAAGGAGGCGTAGGAAACTTCTGAGGAAATGGAAATATCCATTGTTTTGATTGTGGAGGTCATTTCACAGTTACAGACATAGGTCCAAGCTCATCAAATAGTTCACTTTTAAGTATGTTCGTGTTACTGTATGACAATTATACCCCAATAAAGCTGGGGGGTGGGACTATGAGTAATTATTATCTCTTTTTTTATGAAAAAGATGTTAAATAATAAAGTGAATTAGATTTAAGCCAAGGCCGACTTAAAAACTACATTGTCTTTTTAGTGCAGATGATTTTTCAGAGTAGGAGCATAAAAAACAAAACAAAAACAAATTCATTAAAGATAGTTTCTGATTTTTGGACACAGTGTCATCTTTTAAATTATTCCTGTCAGTTTTTTTCTGTTTATTCTGGAACTTGTTTATTTTGCATAATTTCTTGAACTTCTGAAAACCAAAGGTGTGTCTAAATTAAAACCTCATTTCTGTCTTTCATGCACTTGCTCACGATTTGCTAGCTGTCCACATGGAGACCGGCCGGCATCTAATCCCCCGTGCAGATCATGGGGACACGGGGGGAGGCCGGAGGAACTGGAGGCTGCGTCATGGAAAGACCTTGGC